ACTATTAAAAAAAAGTCAAAAAACAATAGCTGCTGGTGTAGATGCAGAGAGAAAGGAACACTTATACACTGTTGGTGGAACTGCAAATTAGTAAAACCTCTGTGGAAAACAGTATGGAGATTCCTCAAAGAAATAAGTGTAGACTTACCATTGCACCCAGCAATCCCACTGCTGGGGATCTACCCAAAGGAAAATAAATCATTTTATTAAAAAGATACCTGCACTCAAATGTTTATTGCAGCACAATTCACAATCGCACAGATGTGGAATCAACCTGCGTCCATCAATTCATGAGCGGATTAAGAAAATGTGGTATATATGCATAAATATATGTATGCATATATATGTATGCACATATATGTATACATATGTATATATGTGTGTATATATACATATATACACACCATGGAATACTACTCAGCCATAAAAAGTAATGAAATAATATCTTTTGCAGCAACTTGGATGGAATTGGAGACCACTATCCTAAGTGAAGTATCTCGGGAATGGAAAAACAAACACCACATGTACTCTCTAATAAATTGGGAGCTAATAGATGGGCACACATGGGCATAATGAGATGCAGAGGTCATTGGAAATCAAGCAGGAGGGAGGGGTGAGGGGAGGGGTAAAAACCTACCCAACGGGTATAATGAACACTATTCGGATGATGGGCACACTAAATGACCCAACTTAAACATTATAAAAGGCATCCACGTAACAAAAATATTTGTACCCCCTTAATGTTTTGAAATAAAAAATAAATGCATATCTCAAGTATTAATTTGAAACCCATGAGCCATACAGATATACTTACTCTCCCAGGAAAACTATCTCGGTGTTGATTTCCCCTGACTTGTGGCGGAGAAAATTCCTCAGGAAAGCAGTGACACTGTCCACGGTGATGTTTCCACAGACCACAATGAACCTAGGCGGCAAGAACACGTGAGTGGATCATCTGAGGAACAGAAGCATCTTTCCACCAGCATTTGGAGATGAATGATCAGCTTAAACCTGGTTTTAAACAAATTTGGTATTTCAACCACCCAGATTTTAAACACAGACTGCATCTGAAGTGCACAAAAGAAGCATCAGATGTTTGCAGCCTTCTATCTCATCTCAAGGAGGGCATGATTCCAAAAATTTGAATTGCATGTAGCTTTTTAGAAATACAACAAGAACTATCATTATTGCTAGAGCTTTCATATTTATTTATAGCTTATAGTAGACTTTTCACTTGATTTTTCACTTGATTCCTCATTGCCCTGCATAGCCTTTTTTCACTGAGGCTTGGAATGATGCATCGATTTTTCCGTAGCCAAATGCTATGTCTGAGGTGGCACCATGTTCTAGGTTGTTTTGGTTTATCTTCCACATCTAAAAATTACCTAGTGTTACAAAAAAGTGAGCCCAGTGGGGAGACATCTAGCACAGGTGCAGAAATCTATATACATGGTTTTTGTGGTGAAAAATTTTCTTAGGATTAATGTGTTTAAAGGAGCCATTTTTTCCCCCCATTAGTCATTTAAGCAAACTGAAAACATAATTTTAGCCTAAGTTAGCCTTAAGTTGTCCAGGTATTATTGGCTGATTTACTATGGGCCTTTCCTGAGATGAAGGAGACCAGACTTTGGCTTATCTAGTTTATTTCATTGCTACTCATTATTTATTTTTCATCCACTTCATTATATGTTTCCTTTCCTCTTCATACTCCTAGGTCAAGAATGGTCTTTCTCCAACTGAGTTAAGAGATCGTTCCATGGGAGTTTCTCTCCTTTGTGCCTCTTTCATCTGTAGCAGATGGGACTGAATTTAAAAAGAATCACATCGCATTTAAGATAGCATTTAAGATCCCCAATCCATTCTTTTCTTCTCAGACGTGAAAAGGCATAATGAAAGCTGAGGTAACATGAATCCACATGGAAGTAGGGAACGAATGTCTGTGGCACGAACAAAGTCAGTGATCTAGGAAGCGTTGTAGAAGATGGGGTAGAAATTACTTCTCACGCTAGCAAATCCCAGACCATAAATGAGCCCTGTGATTCGGGGGAGGGGAGTTTTGGCTAAGACAATGAAATTAATTATTTTAAATTTAGTGGCTTTAATTTGATCCATTATTTAAAGTTAGGAATACATTAACCGCATGATGAACATAAGTAAGACAATTAGTAGTTGATTTAAGTTAACAAGGAATATAAAAGTAGTGCCATAATCAGTAATATTTATTGACAGTGAATTACAGCATTATCTATCATTTTAGCTGAGTTGCTGCTCTTGTGAACATCTGTATAGTAGTTTATATCAAGTAGCAAATAACATTTTCTTACAGTTTTTATTTTAGCACAGGCCTAAGTGAATGAAGGACGTTGCCGATATCGTCACATCTGGTTATGTAGCCAGGCCAGACAATAGGTGTCTAGAATGAGATACATGACTAACAGAATTTCTCAGACTGAAGGAATTATATTTGACAAGCTACTTACTTCTTCCCTTTGAACACATCATAGGAACTGGTGTATTTCCTCTTGTTTGCAAAAAGTTCCACCATTTCAGGGATGTAGTTTGCAAATAGTATCTGAAATGATCAGCAAACAAAACTTTAGTTCTCATTATTTTGATGGATACTTCAAAATTCTGAGATTAGTAAGGACAGAGATGCTACAGAAAATTTTCTCTCATTCTAAGGGGGCATGAGGGTGGATTGCAGGTTAAAAGGGGCCCATCTTTCTTCCTACTTCAGCCTCTGGGTTTGGTTAAGATTTAGTAAAACACTTTTTTGCATTCGAAAGGATGAAAGCGAAGACAGGCAGGAATGCCTCCCTGCCGGAGTCATCCCTTCTTCACTCTGAACTCCCTCTGGCTCTGACTGTCTATAATACTGGGGCTTGGGGAAATTAAACATTTGGGACAGAGGGGAGTTAATGGCTGGAATGGAGGGATGTGACACTGTGGACAGGGAAATGTCAGAAAGGTGGAGTGGAGAACACTGCTATGGTGTTTAAGGAATTGAAACGAAAGTCACTGGAAGAAAAGGGGCTTCCTTTGCCCTCACTGCACTTCTGAACCAAGCACAGATGTTCACTCCTCTAACATTTAATACTGGTTTGGTGAGGGCCTACTCATTGGGCTGGAAGGAGCCGAACTCTTCAGATCCAATCTCAAATGCCCTTCCTCTTTAGAAGAAAGACTTAATTTTATAGGCAAAAGATGAAGGAAGACACAGACAGCTGCTCAAATCAACATAGAGCCTAATGAGGAAAATCTTCCCTCCTTCATCCACCATCTGCATCCCCGGCAACCGAGCAATTACATCCGGTGCTCCAGGGGATGCAGTTTGGACAATACAGGATCTGTGCACCTTTTCATTTTCACTTGACTCCTGCTCTAATAATGCAACATTCCCTCTCAAATCTGTATGGCTCTATTTATTACTATTAACCCTATGCTTTCTGCTTTATGTAGCTATATTCGAAAGACATTGAAAATATTCTTCACCAAACTCCCCAGGGTGAAGAACATGATGAAAGTCCGTCCTAAGCATGTCTTGGCTACCACATCTCCAAAGCCAACGGTTGACGTTGTTGCCATGACCAGGTAGATGGACTCGAAATAGGATATATTCTGTGAATTTCTACCTTTGAGCCAGGGATCACCAGAATTTTCCACCTGTACAAAGAGAGAAGACTCAGGAAAGGTGTCTGAATGGAATCTAAGGGAAGGTTTTCAAAGAATAGGCAAAACATTAGATCAATTTCACTTACCCGAATGAAATATGAAATGGTTCTCAGGCTGCTGTGAGGGGCTTGGGAATTGTGGGTAATGTTTGCAGAATGTTGGTTTCGTTAGCTGTGATTATTGCTGAGATCTGAGGGGGCATGTGGCTTGAGCCCAGCATTTGGAATACTCCACCAGGGACACATGCCCGTGTTGAGCTCTATTCATGTGGCCACATCATCTCATCTTGGAGCCAGAGGACACCAAATGCTCTCAGATTAAGCAATTACTATTTATTCTCATTTTTAATCTAGATCAGGATTATCATTAAAGATTATCATTAAGCATTTCAGTGAGCTCGATCACATGAATGCTAGTGTCTAAGGAAAAATAAACAAATGAATTTTCCAAGTTATTTCCCCCTTACAAAAAATCTTTTCAATGATGTCTTTAAAAAATCTCTGAAAATATTTTCCTCTGATTTTTTTCACTGATTCT